ATCCGGGATAAACACAACTGTTAAGAATAAAGCGATATACTTGCAGAAATGAAACCAATTCATCGGGGACTCTCCCATTGTTGTTTATATTTATACATGCTACGTCATTTAAAACGGATATTAAAATCGATTTGAACGCATTCGAACTTTTCTAATGAATATAACTATCATAGTGAGAACTGCCAGTTTTTTAAAGTTACAATTTCATATTTTTAAGTTATATTTTTAAAATGTATTAAAATAAAGCCCTAAAATAGATGGTATCTATAAACAGTCCTACCTTGTTAAAGAATAATCCTATTAATCCTATAATTCACTATTGCCAGTTGAGAAATTGGCAAAAATATCATTTTCAACTTCAAATTCAAACGTTTGGAGATAGCTATTCCATGGTGGGGGAATAGGAAAACAAGGGAGGTAACTGGGAGGTAATTGGGTTATTATTTCCGATGTGAAGATTTTTAAGTGTGAGAAAAATAACCTATGTGAGTTGACAACCTATTGAGCAAAAGGCATAGAAATAATTATGTTCTGACTTTCTTAGAAAATATGAAATTGTAACTTTAATTATCTAATCTCCCATAATGTATCTTTAAATAAAACACTGATTGCCAGGCAATGAAAACTACGCCCACCAGCAGCTACGATATCTGACGCAATAACATTTCGTCTCCAAATCTGCCATAAATTTAACTTTGTCCTAAAATACACGAAGTCCTACACAAAAGAAAACATCATACGAATGGTACTTATAAATGAATTTAAATTCTTCATCAATCTCCCATAGAGCAAAAAGAAATGGTCCGTGCTAGCTTTGCTTCATAGCTAGCTAAATATAAACGTCAAACTATCTAATGGAATATTACGATAATAATTTATCGAGTGTATCATAATATTATTATTTTTCGGCGTGGCTTCCCGTTGTCAGAGGTACAAAACGGAGGGCCTCTTAATCGCTCACCCGTCTCCTACCTTTGCGAGACGAGCCTCTCCTTTGTCTACTCTTGCAAGTTTCCCAAGAAACACTTGTCTGCGATATCACCCTAGGTGGAAGCGGACGTTAAGCCTTAAGGAAAGAACGAAAAGTCGGCTCCCGTGTTCTCTTTGACAGTTGGAATTCGACAAAGAGAAGGCGGAAAATTTATTTTATATCACACTGAGCTACCGTAGCTCCGTACTGTTAAGCATAGGCGTACGAGCCAGAGGGGCAGGGGGGGGGGGGCAGCTGCCCCCCTAACTTTCGGGCAAGCTGACTTTTCGGGCAGAAGGGTAAAGTGAAAAAAGTTTTTTTTATCTCATCTACTTAGCAAACTAAAGTGCCCGAAATCTAATAAAACACTAATTTTACGGGCTGGAATAGCAGTAAAACGCGTTTGCGGCCGTCAAATATTCCAAAATTTTCTTCGGGGGTCCATACAAGGTCAGTTCTGCTTCTTCACCTCTCGAAGAAAAACCGGCGCCGCTGTCTGTAAACCTGAAATTTTTTCGGGCATTTCTAGTTTTTCTTCCCTAACTGTCATTGAGCCCTAATTTTACACTAATTTTACTTTTCTTTTAATTGAATACCACAAATTTGTATTGAGTTGACTATGGATTAAAACATTTTGTCTGGAGCCACTCTACTTTGTGCGACATTTTTCGAGCATCGATTATTATTTGTGAATGCAGCTGCAACGGTCTGATTGGATGGTTGGAATTCAGAATGGGATTTCGGTTACAAAACCATTGGATACTTTTGGAGTTGCTTACACGGGCTAGAATAGCAGAAAACGCATTTGCGGTGGTTAGGTTTTCAAAATTTTCTCGGGGAGGGTGAGGCCCCCCATACCCCGCGACGATTGATTGGTTGTTTGGAATTCGAGTCAGCCAGGTAGGCTATATTGGACCAAATTGAAGTTGCTGTATTCACAGACTGGAATAGCAGGAAAACGCTGTTAAACGATTGATCTTTTGATTGGAATTCGAGTCAGCCATCTTAATTAGGCTATATTAGACCACTTTGAAGTTGCTTGTTTCACGGGCTGAAATAGCAGGAAATTATGTTTGCAGCCGTCAAATATTCAAAAATTTTCTTGGGGGGCGGGGGATACAATACAAGGGGAGCTCTGCTTCTTCGCCTCTCGAGGAATATCGGCGCCGCTGTCTGTACACCCGAAATTTTTTCGGGCATTTCGGGTTCTGCCCCCCTAACTGTCATCAAGCCCGTACGCCTATGCTGTTAAGATTGTAAAGTAAATATAGTATTAATGTTGAATAAAACTTTTTATTTGGTGGATGAAAACAATCCTGGAATCATTGCCGTGCTGCTGTTTTTTCATATCTGGGGGATCGACATCTCTGATACGCAAACGTAATCCATGCAATGACGGATGTATCTGAATTCGAATAAAGGGAGACTACTGTATACTCTACTTGTTCTCTGCCAAGACACCTGGACAGAAAAAAAACCCTAAGCAATATATTTTTGGGCGTACATGCAATGAAACTATAAAACTGAATATTAGAAATTAAACAATCCGATTTTTTTGGTCAGTTTCGTGTCCATCTGTCCTCAAGTGACTCTTGTGTCAAAGTATTACCAGGAACACCATTTAAACTATTTAACGGTTGAGTTTCACGCTCTAAATATTTGAAATTTAACTAAAACACGTAAATAAGATATTCAAATTATAAATTTAGGTGTAAAAACGTAAAGATACAAAAAAAAAAAATAAAAAAAAAATAAAATACCCAATATATTTTCAGAATTCAAGAAAGAAAAAAAACCGTACATAAAATAATACACTTGGCCAAGTTTTAAAATTTTGTATAAAATATGACATTTAAGATATGTAATTTCTTTTGTCGTAATTACTAAAAATAAATCTGTAATCCCTGAGTGAGCGTCTGTCGGGGATTGTTTAACGAGTGTAGCTTTTATATGGGTTGTCATCTATTCAAGTAGGTATGGTTTCAATCAAAGGCTAGGTGATGAGTGCAAATAATTTTTTGAACAAAGTAGGGATGTATTTTGGTGCGGTTAAAAATGTCTCCTAATACCCAACCACTAAAAATACTCACCCACCCCCACCCTAGCCAACAAAATATCCAAATGAGTTAATACCAACACATGTCATAATTCATTAAAAAAAATTGAACAAACTGACTGGTCACTGATTAGAAAGATAATGGACATATATTATTTTTTTTTCAAAATAAATAAAATTCACATTCGCATCCACTGAAAATTATAATGGCCTAAATAAGGAGCAAAACAGGGACGGGGTCTGGTGTGGTGGGGGGGGGGGCAGGGTGCATGAATTAAACTAATTATCCCAACACATTAATTTTCTCACAAACCCAATTGTGCAATCCGTCTTAAAGGATTTTGAAAATATTTGTATAAATGATATACATTATTAATGGAAAATGATAATGGCTGACTGTACAGCGCAGTGGATCCATTCACTTGCATTGATATTAAATTTTGTTGTTTATTTCTTGTAAATTTCTGTGTAGTTTGTCTTGTCCGCAGGTTTGTCTTATCGCTTTGTTGGCTTGTTGTGCAGTACTCATAACTAATATGCATACATTAAGTCAAGCAGAATAATTAAATATCTCTTTAGTTTCAGCATGTGTTGATGACCTGAGAGAAGCATTAACGGTTTATACCTTAATGGCTATTATCAAAAAAATAAAGAATGGAAATTTAAATATATGCACATAAAAATACTAAATGAGGCTCGAATATCAACAGATTGGAAAATGTGAATTAAGATCAAAAAAATAAATGGCACTGTAAAAATAATTCCGCTAAACCTTTAATCTAAGAAGTATATTTCTCGACTAAATTTAGATATTCCAACATGTATATAAATCATCAAAAAGTACAGTTTTCATAAGACGTGTCGATGTTAAAAGTATGGCGGTTTTAGTAGTTTTAACCCTTTTTGTTATTGGAGCGAATGGTATGTAAATATTTTGATATTTTATAATATATATATTCTTTGTTTTTAATCTGGTTCTATTTTTATTTCTAATACATTTTGGAAGCTTAAGAATCTATAATGTTTCAGTAGTTGTCACAAACTCATTTTTAATAAAGATCTTCCTTTACGATCTCCTTTTACGAGCCGATCCGCCTTGTTTGTCTGCGGTTCAAAATATATAAAGCCGGTCATCCAATGCACAGTGAGATCTTTGAATACAATGGAAGCATAGCTTCTTCCCCTTCTCTTTAAAACAAAGTAAGGCGCTAGTTCGCTAACCAGACGTTCTGGGCTTCGATCACGGTGTTGGAAAAGAAAGTTCCCCGGCATTTTTCCGTATGGTTTCCCCTTACTAGTAATGCAGAATGGAGGGTCTGGCCAGGAATTGGACGTAAAATCGCGGTCCCCGTGTACACGTTGGCATGCACGTAAAAGAACCCCTGGCAGTTGTAATCTCCATAATATAGCGCACTATAAAAACATAAAAATCATTTGACATATTGGCTTACAATTTTGATTTTCAATACCAGCCACCTAAGCCACTTCCCCTCAACAATATTAATTTAATTTAGATTTTGTTTCTCGTCTGCAGTAAAATATTACGTCTTTGAAATAGAATATTTTAGATATTTTAAAATGAAAGAAATATATCTGTAACTAATTAGAAGACCAATTTCTATTTGCAGGATATTCCTTCTTTAACTTTGAATCAAGTAAATCTTTCAAAGCTTTCAAGAGTTTTAGCAAGTTCTCTTCAGGGAGTGGTACCGGAAGTGTTGGATTGCCTACCGTCTCCACCGTCTGTTATTCAGAGTTGGGCTGTTTTAATAACTTCCCCCCTTTCCAAGGTTTCGTACTTCCTCAATCGACCGTCGATCAGAATGTCGCATATCTTCTGTTTACGAAGAAGAATCCACTGATCCCACAATTATTAGATTGCAATAATCCCATAACCATTGCTAGTTCTAACTTTGATGTCAGTAAGAAGGTTATTATCATTATTCACGGCTATATGAATACCGGTATAGATGTATGGATTCGACAGATGGTAGCTGAACTGTTGAAAATGGTGAGTTTTGTGTATTTCCTAAGCTATGACGTAACCATCGTCCAGATATTTCACATTGTCGTGTTTGCCATTGCAACTGTACATTTCGTTCCGTTATATTTTTCTGTTGTTTTCCCACTTTAATTTGGTCTAAAAACATTTTTAAGACGCATTCAGCAAAGTGCAAGTTTTTATGGGTCAACACCAGACCAACCTTCTAATTGAAACCCGCGCTAAAACAAAGCACGCGAAAACGAAAATAGCAACTAGTTTTTACTCGACTGGTTTTCATCCAGACTATCGATTCATTTGGTTATTGGTATCGATACGTATGATGCACAGGGTACAACGTGCTTTTCATTATTTGACAGCTTTATTGTTATGAAAGTATTCATGTGATTATGAAGTAAATTCTTTGGTGTTGTTTTTAGGAAGATGTAAACGTTATATCTGTGGAATGGTCTAAAGGAGCATCAGGTCAATATAATCAAGCAGCAGCTAACACTCGTGTTGTTGGAGCTCATATTGCCAGATTATTAGACAAACTAACAACAACAGCCAACTTCTTTAATCCTTACAACATACACATCATAGGACAAGGCCTAGGTGCTCATGTAGCTGGATTCGCTGGTAAAAAATCACCATGGATAGGCAGAATAACAGGTAAATTGACAGATTACTATGAACATTCTTTTTTTATATAGAAAACTATACTTTTGAAATTCTTTGCAAGATTGTCGAAAACCAATTGTCTATTTGAAAGTGAATGCGATCCTGTTGATATTAGGTATTATTTTCCTCTACCTTACTTTGAACTGCCGGACATTTAAAAAACAATGACTGGTTAATCACAAGACTGTCCGGTGTAACGTTTTCTCTTGTAAGGTGTAGCACCTGCGAGGCTGACAAGTAAAGTGTGTTGCGAAACTGACAAATAAAGTGTGTTGGGTAGTCCGGATGGGACAATTAAACCCCCTTGATCGTTGGAAATTGAAGAAGAGTAGGCGGAAACGTCACTGTCCGAGTAAAATTCTCCTATGGCGTAACCATAGAAATGGATATTACCAATATGACGGAAGTATTGTGTTGATAAGACATTAAAATCCAGTCTATTCCACATCTGCTACATGTATATCATAGTTTTACTATAGACCGTGGCAAAACCCCCGAGGAGTTCATATTATATAAAATTCTATGCTAGATTTTAATTCGTTCAGTTAAACTACTGTCACAACTTTTCGTATACATTTGTTTTTAAAAATTCGAACTACAGTGGTAGCATTCTTAACATCCAGCACCACTTCCGGGCAATGGCGTATTTAGTAAAGTTCTACTTGCCTTTATTCAATATCGTTTAATTTCTAATTTTTAAATTGAATATTGATTTGTTTGCCTGTTCACAATTTTTGTTTTCATGTAATAATATTTATTTATTTTATAGGTTTAGATCCATCAGGACCTTTATTTGAAGATGCTAGTTCTTGGGGTCGACTTGATTCTTTAGATGCTCAAACGGTCGATGTTATACACACTGACACACCTGGTAATGGTCAGATAGGTTAGTTAACATACCAGGGCCCTGTTTCACGAAATTTTAACTAAAGATAAAATCCAAATTTTAATAGATACTTCAATTTTGATTGGCTAAGCACTAAAATCAATCTAATATTATCCAATCAAATTATTAAAATTTGGATTTTATCTTAGTTATAATTTCGTGAAACAGGCCCCTGATACATATCTCTTATCCACAGTGTTCCCAATTAATATTGGGTATCGTTATAGTCGATTGAAATTAACACCCTATACTGTGGACATGCCCCTGGTTGTCCGAGGGTGTGTGTACGGGACGGTGGAGGAGCGACCTTTTTATACGGCCATATTTCAGTATGGGCGTATGATGTTGTCACCCTGTGACGCATTGCCGTGAAGCATTGTGGTCATACGAGGACGAGGCGAACACATTGTGAACGCGATAGTGTCTACAGTTTTAACGGATATTTTCAAGTTTGTGACCGCTTAGGGTTCATGTTTCTTGAAGGCAGATCCCAGAAAAACATTTGGTCAGTATCAAAGTTTTCCTATCTAATACACACTATCTAATTTCCGTATTAGGGGTGTTATTCTGTGGAATATTTAACAACGAAAGTTTAAGGATAATGCAGGACATTTTAATTTCAGGACTAGGTATTTCTAAGCCAATAGGAACTGTTGATTTTTACCCAAATGGCGGCATTGACCAACCTGGTTGTGTGCCAGCCATATTTTCATTAGATGACTTCGTTGCTGGTAAAATAGGTTAGTATGGTCATATTATTTGGTATATTTAATTTCAATAATGTGACAACATAATTTAATGTGCGATTTGGTTAGCAACCAAAATGCCGCGTGTCCGCAATGTTAGATTCCCAAAAGGTTCAAGAATTTACTTAGGCTTCGATATTGACGGTAAATGGACAGCGACTAAAATCAAATACATGCTAAAAATTGATTCTCCTTCAATTAAGTCACGTTTCAAAAAAGAGGATTTAAAATAGATTCTAGCCGCATGGGGTAGTTTTTTGCGATTTAGATGTTTTGAGAGGGATTTGATGAAGAAAACATTTTGATAGATAAATTAGTTTGAATATGTTTTAGTCCAAATATATTATTAAATCACCCAGTTTGTACGAGGGGGGACATCTTTAACTGTTGTTTGTTTCAGTGTTACTATACGATCATTATAAAACTTATTTACCTATTCAGTATACCAACAATCAAACAACATATTTAAAATTACTTTTCTTAACAAATCAAGGCTGAAATTATAATGTATGACTTTCAGCTGTAACCGACATTATAACATGTGATCATCTGAAATCAGTTGACTATTTCGTGGCCTCTATCAACAACTGTGAGTTTCTAGCTGTACCATGTGACGTTGCAACCATCAACCTTGCTCCTCAAACTTGTACGTCTTGCGGATTTGAAGGATGTTCAAGGTTAGGATATAATCTACCAACCAATTTGTTTGGCCATGGTACATACTACTTGCAGACTACCCCAACATACCCTTTCTGTATAGCGTGTAAGTACAAATTTGAATTTGGTAATATTGCAATCATGTAAATTTCACACTTATTTTATAAAATTATATGAATCAATCTTAAAATAGTTATTTTGTATTTTCCATGGCATAATAAAATATGAATTTTGTTCACTAATCATTGTTGTTCGACTCACACAAAAAAGCTAATATCGACGATAAGTTGTCATTTATATACTTAATTTCCGTGCATGCAGTCTTTTTTTTTTAGAAGTTCAGCGATTATGACACTGTACTCTGGACTAGAATGTCTCGGGTTCGAAACACATCTTGGGCCCAGAAGAACCTTCGGGATATTTGAAACCCGGTTCCCATTTATTTTATACTTCCATAATACGATACTATATCATAATGTCTATAATTTTATATTTTCAGAAACAGATGTCTTCATCAAGTAAGATTCGCACATATTATATTTCATCTTATACTTTTGTCCATTTCAAATGAAAACTGTAATAAATAAACTTTTAAAAAATAGAATAATGAAGTATGTCTTCGATTTAATACCCATGGCATTGTAATTTAACCAATCATTTTTCAACGACGTGTTTCACCAGATTGTGTGCTATTAACTGCCTGTCAGCTAATCCTTATACGCCACATGAAAAGTATTTCAAATCAGGGTTGCCGGTACGTCCGAGGGTCAAGGGTAAAGCGAGGGTCCTGGTGGGTTCTCTCCCCTCGAATCAAGTTTCCATCCAGCAGAGCCTTTTTCTTCGTCATATTTTAATTTGAGGTCGTGTGATCTGACAAAGAACTACCTATAGGCTAATTCGTTTAGGCAATTTTTATGAATAGAAGCAAACATACAATTGTTTAACAGATTTTACGATATGCAAGACCGGAGCCATGCTTTGGGTCTGCACATAAAACTAAATTTCCGGTCGACCGAGGCAGAGTTTAGAATGATACGTCTTGAACAATGTGTGGACTGTACAGACTCATCCTTCTTAGTATAAGAACACATCATGTCACAGACAGTGCTATTGTCGGTAACCCTTTGTACAGGGATTATATTTATTATTATATATATTAAAATGAACCTGTCCCTCTCTCTCTGTCCTTCACACTTTTGGGGAGATAATAACTCTCCTTCTAATTGAACTAGAATGTTCAAACTTGGTGTAGGTGTTTATTAGGTGAATGGCGTGATGGTATTAGAAAATAAGCATTTTCTGCAATATTTAAGCAGCGATAAGCAATTTGATTGCTTATATCAATACCTTGGCTAAGTTCGAAAATAAGCATTTTCTGCTCAGGGCAAGCAGAGCGATAAGCAATTTGGTAGGTCGAGACTTCGGAACTGGATAACTTTGAATAGTTTCATTACATCAATACCTTGACTAAGTTCGATGATGGGCATTTTCAACTTCGGCTAAGTAGATACTTCAGTCTGATTGACCGAGACTTTGGAACTCAATACCTCTCTTTATAATTGAGGTAGAATGTTCAAACTTGGTGTATGTGTTTATTAGGTGAATGCTCTGACAGTGTGAGATCGTGCGCATTTCCCACGAAGGCTAAGCTGAGATACGCAATTTGATTGGTTGAGACTTTGGAACACGATAACTTTGATTCTAATTGGATGAGAGTGATAAAACTCTGAGTATAACTTCATTATACCAACACCTTGATTAAGTTCGATCATGCAAATTGTCTGCTTAGGCTAAGTAGCGATAAGCAATTTGATTTGTCAAGACTTTGGAACACAGCAACTCTGCTTTTAATTGTGGTAGAATGTTTAAACTTGATGAATGTCTTGACTGAGTTCAATGATTAACATTATCCGTTAATGCTAAACAATTTTATTGGTTTCTGCTTTGGGACAAGATAACTTTAATTCTAACTGACGGAGAGTGATGAAACTTCGTGTATAGCTTTACTACCAGGTACTTCAAAACCTTGACTGAGTTCGATCGTGAACATTTTCTGCTTAGATTAAATCAATTTGATTGCTCGATACTTTTCAAAAAGATAAATGTACAGTTAATTAGTATCATCCATCCCGCCCCTACAACCACTTTTGTGTTCGAAGAATAAAAGAAAAAGTATTCTCCCACCACTAAAACACACTGGTTACGTGATATCGCTCTCTGAAACTTTCTGAAGACCGCCGAATTTTAATATGATGCTGTGTGAATAAGGTTACCAAAAGTAGAATCTCCAAATAGTCCTCTTTCGACTGGTTCTTGAAACACAATAAGTTTGCTTTAAATGAAATCGAACCTCACTGAAATGGAAAGATTTCGATCAAAGACAATTCTAAACCGATGAAATGAAATGGGGGTTTACGTCCTACTTTTCTACACCGAGTAGGCTAATGTAGACTAGGCTTGGTAATACTAATAAATGAAATGTAATAAAATCAAATAAAACACGATGGAGTAACAGACATTGTTGTGTAAAAGTTAAAATATGATTTTGAGCAATATATCATTTAGAAGTTTCGTGTGTGCATATGGCAAACCGTTAATGTGTTTCTATGTAAACAAACACGTGTGCCATGTCTAACTCATCCTCGGTTACCAAGTGTACTCATTCCGTTCTACTCCACTATATCCTGGGTTAATCTATGGGGGAGACACGTTTTCAAGTTATCTACCCTTGATGATTGTGCTATTTTTATCGACCAATCCCATAAATTGTTATTTGAAAAGGAAGTTCGCAAAGGTAAGTAACTCTCATCGGACAATATTAGGAGTTCGCCTATTCTAAATGCGTAATTAATAACAACCAATTATATATTATGTTATTGAAGACCAGACGTTCATATAATAATGTAGGGTCATATAGTTTTATTTAGAATCGTTCGTTCGTTCCCGGAATTTTATGTCCACGTGATATCGTAGACAAGTAATTATGAATCAAATTGCCAAATATAAGTTCAATAATAATAAACATATTTCAGACAAAGAACGAATAGTAATAATAATAACAAAAGTCAAACATATAGATGTTATACATAATATATTTGAAATCAACAACACATACTACAGATTTTGATAATACAATTAAATATAAATAAATTATAAATATATACATTATTTACATAAATCATTCAGTGAATGGACATGAATATGGTTATCCACCCTTATACAAACGAAGGCGAAACGATTGGTTTGTGAACTGTTTTCTGATTGGTTCGTAGACTGTAGCTACATTCTAGGCCAGGGCAGATAATTTGAAATCGTGGAAACCCTATGGATTAACCCAGGGTATAGTGGAGTAGAACAGAGTGAGTACACTGGGTAACCGAGGATGTGTCTAACTGGGGTTTAACATGCAATCGACACAAACTAGGTCATTTCGGGACTAACATATGGTTCAATTTTAATTCAATAATTCGCTTGCGCGTAGGGTCTTTAGCAGTGGGAGGAAACCGGAATTTCCAGCTCCATCGCTGGATGTAAAATGGTTGCACTGTAAACCGGGGTGGGAGGGGCGAATTGTTAACGCGTGTGCGTTGAATCAGAAGGTCTATCATTAAGTCAAGTGGCGTGGTTTCAAGCAGGGTCAAGAATATCCGACAACTCTCCGAATATTGGCTTTTAAAATCTGTATGTACGAAAAAAAATTGTTTATCCGCAAAGTCCTCAAATAGGTATACTCGAGGCCAGAACACTCATAAAGGGCTACATGTTGAGGAATGCCTATCCGACAACTAGAGGTGTTTTTTTGCCTGTCTGTCGGGGTCCGATAAGGTGTCGGGACCTGTCGATGTTTCTGTGCGCCCTCCACAGTCGTGGTCTATCGGAGCCAACTTTCTGTGCGCCCGCTGTCGGCTTTTGACCGCACAAAAGCATCGAAAAGGCTGACAGTTGGACCGTTAGACTCCTTAAGTTGCTATCTGAGTTTCTTGATGGCCACCCCTGATTGGTTATAACAATCAAATTAATAAAAACTGGGAAAATCCTCCCAGCTGTCAGAACATCTAGGGGATAACTACGCCCAAAACGCAAACCCGATCCGCTAAGAATTGTGACCTGTAGGCGACACACATTATACATTAGTATAACAAATATCTACCCTAAACAGACAGGCTCTATCGCGTTCACAAGCCAATTGCTGACCAGCGGACAGCGTGACAACTGAGTAAACACAAACTACCCGTGCACCGTGGGCGTATAAAAGTACTCAAAATAGGAATCATATTTACCCCCAATACCCAATATCAAGAATTAAACCCTGCAGAGTAAGCTCGGTAATGTATGTTTACAAATAAACGTATAAGTCAGGAGTCACGGGCTCCCGGTGAACTACTTTTACGAAAATATTGAAAATCGATAGGTTGAAAATAGGTGAACAATTGTGCGCATACCGATAGACCTAATTATATCACCGACATACAATTTCTACAGGTGGTATAGTTTTCGACACTTCTAACATAAGTCCTAGAAACATATTGATACTTAAAAAAGCTTCTAAACTGGCCGTTAGCCCTCAAAATAGTTATATCTATTAAAGTGGAAAAACCTGTGATTTTGAACTCTTAATAAAGTTATACTTCAAGACCGAACATTTTGATATTAATTGTTAGTAGACATGAGGGTCATCATATATGAAAAGGTCAAGGGTCATTAAAAGGTTAGGTCACCAGATAGAAGTTGAAAAGTCGAAGAAAATTCAAAGGGAAACCGGAAATAAACGAAATCAAAATTCAAAAATCGACTCCCTAAGAATTGTTGCCATTTGGATTCCAACTGTCAAGGGATATTTTATGTGCACACCAATGTGTACACGGGACCTCGGTTGTTCGTCCAATCCAAACGACTAGACAGCTGTCCTTGTCAGGCCCTCCGTCCTGCATCACTGACAAGGGGGAACTACGCCGGAAAATCTGAATGAATTTTCTCGGCTAGAAAATGAAAGATATTATCCGGGGCTAACACTACCATATGTCATTTTTGGTCTAATTTTAAATGGGGAAAAATCGGAAGGACTCGGAAATTTCCGAAAGTATCCGGAAGCCGTCTTAAAAAATACCTCTATATAACTGACTGATGTGACGAGTGATAACAGATACACGGCCGAATTTCTGCTCACTAATAATTCCTTCCAAGACCAAAACTTGTTGTGTGAGACTGTAAGAGGATATCTGACAATTCATAAAAAGAATTGACTGCCACTAGATAAGTGAACACGAAAGAAAAACAGAAAAAGTCTGTGCATTACCATGTTTTTATAAGGTATAGAATGAATATAAACAAGGGAATGTAGGGACTATTTCTATTTTTCTTGTGTTCTCTTATCTAATGACATTCAATTACTTTATTGAATTGTCAGGTATTCCCTTACAGTCCCATATAACAACTTTTGGTCTTCGAAGGAATTATTAGTGAGCAGAAATTCGGCCCTGCATCTGTTATCACTCGTAACATCAGTCAGTTATATAGCGGTA